AGAGTCAAGTTCTAAAGAGTGACTAAATTTAAAGGGCCAAAAATATAAGGGTTTGAATGGCTAATTCTAATTAGTAACTAATCTAAAAGAAATTAAAATCCAAAGTGTAACCCCCTCAGACCGATGCGGATAGCCCGATCTGATCTGGAGTGTCACATTAGGGCCACCGGAGCAACCTACCTAAAAAAACAACGAAAAATTTAAAACTTTTCTTAAAACATGTAAACTCATAAAATCATTTATGAGTACAAAATAAAATTTATCAGTATTCGAAATATAACAGATTTTCATACTCATTTATAAAGCAAAATACAATTACATGCCCCCTAATCACATGTATCATACTCTGCAAGCAACGTCGGAAGAACTCCCTTACTGATGTTGATAGTTGTACTGGTACAATCTTTTAACCTGCAATAGTGAGTAATAGAGTGAGCTTCGAAAAGCTCAGTAATACAGAACTACCAGATGATGCTATAAGTCATGTAGATAAATGGGAAACCATAATTTCCTTATTGAATCAACCGTATATCAATTGCGGAATAATCTGGGTTTCCATTAGTAGTTCATCGAGTAGAAGCCATGAATCTCAGTTCATAAGAAACCTTTCATACAGTCACGTTTTCATGAGGTCGAATAGGATGTCTAGTGTGTTCCATCAGTACGATAAAATTATAATAGGTACACCAATTAAATGATAGTTCAGTAAATCCCATAGACCATACTGTAGTAGAGCTTTTTAAACTCGTATTTTTAAAACCATCGTGCAAAGAGTTAACCTAAGGCAACATCTTAGGGCCTGAGAGCCTACCCAAGAAAGTTCGGGGCCATGGGGCCTACCTAAGAACACATCTTAGGGCCGCAGGGCCTACCCGAGAATGATCTCAGGGCCGCAGAGCCTACCTAAGAGTCACATTATGTCCATAAAAATTTTCCAGCTTGATCAGAGCTGTACTTTACAAATATGTATCTCCAAGATACAGTTTATACAATGATACAAATCCATAAGACATCACCGTTAAGTCAGTGCATCCATAAAAAGTAACCATAGATTTCAGTGTACCACATGTTAAAACAATAAAACAATTTTTTTCAAAATATAAGGAACACACTAGAGAATCCAAATATTTTTCAGATGCATTTTGTAGTTATCAGTATGGATAACATGAACTTGTGCAATTTGATCGGATTCCAGGAATAAGATCTTATTGAAGAGAATCGATTTCTAACCGATCTAATCAGACACTTCAAATTGATACTTTAGAATTCCACTAAGTTTCCATGTGCATCAGGAAAACGTTCAGGAACCTTTATACATAATAATTCTAAATTCATATTTACTGCGAGTGATTCTATTACCCAAACAATCAGGGGTATTCAGGAATATACTTTGAATTCATAGGATTTCAGCCCAATTGAACCAAATGAGGTATTCAGAATATTTTCCTTCTGCGTTACTTGCGTTTTCAAACATGACCAAAGTGATTTTAGATGAAAATATAGAATCGAAGATTCAAGTCATTTACAATCTATGACTATCGATCGTATTATCAAACAACTTGAGTTACACAACTCCCAAACTGATACATGTCAACAAATCAATTCATTATCCTTCCAGTGTATTCACTTTTTAATACCATAATACAGATCCATAGATCATCCCCATAATCATCGTTGAATAGATCTTCCAACGGTCTTTATTTCATTTCCACGTTTCAACGATATCAGGAAATATAGACGTACTTAATTCATGGTTCAACCCATAAGGACAATTCATCATGTAAGTCCAACAGTGTTTCCAAACTCATCCAATCACCTATTTAATCCTCAGTCATTAAGGTTACTTAGTTCGTTTAGTAAGCAAGTCTATCCCAGTTACTTTAGAGTTTTCTAGAATAATTCAGACATTTCTGAATTTCAAATACATGTTGTACTTCTTTTTAGTTCAATTTATTCATATAATAAAGTCATTCTGGTATTCATGGTTGATTTGACTCATTAATACCCACTTATTAGTACTATATGCGCTCTAGAGTTGAGCTGAGCCAAGTACTTCCAGAATTATCATCGATCCAAATTTGAGACGATGAACAAACATTCAAGTGGTACATATATCATTCAGGTAATGATATAGCACTAGCGTTGGTTGATCACTTAAGCTGCGTTCCATAACTTTTACTGGTAGCACAACATCCATATTTATTTGGATTTCTTAATTAATCCAAGACATTTACTTATTCTAGGTTATAAGGGCATTTTGGTTATTTTGGTGCTCAACGTTTTTCTATTCATTTCAAAGCTTGTGTATATCCATTCATTCCCGAGCTTGGTGACATTCTTGAGTCATTTCCAATCCAGGGGTATTTTGGTCATTTTATAGATCCAATGTATTTCCATCATTTCCTTACGTCTGATCTTATTATTTAATTTAATCTTATCACTTACTTCAGTCCTTTCAAACAATTCTGACTAAAGAGCACCTTCGATAACTCATTCTTCATAATTCGGTAATTTCCAAGTTAAATGTCTTTTCAAATGTTATTAACTAATTTTCAGAATTTTCCATACAAAGATAGGATCCCAACAATCAAATCAGTAATTTATCGATTTAAAAACAAATTCTCAGGTTACTCTCTCATTCAGAGTCAACTTGGACTATTTTAAACTCTCAAGGGCATTTTTGTAATTTCGCACCCATATACTTTTGGTATTAACTCTTAACGAAAATAAATATAGTTCAGAGATTCTATGCTTAATTGCTTACCCGAACATTCTCGGATCTTGAAATGATTGATTAGCAGACTTCTAGTATCTTGCATAAACTCTATTGGGTTAAAAATCGATTATCCAAATTTTCTAAGCAAACTAGCATTTCTTATGCACATATATAGTTTTATCAGATCAATATATCCTTTCAGAGTTATTAAACAACTTCCAGGGATAATTCTTGTCATCTTACAACATAAGGGTATTTCTGTAATTTTACCCTACCAAAATATTCTCATAATTTTCCATCCAAGTACCTTTATCACTATACACAGAACTTGTAATTTTAATTCTAATAATCCATCAGTTTCTTATAAAAGTCATCTGAACCATAATCAGTTACCAAATTTTTATCGTATTCGGATCGAGTGTAGAAATTAATTAACTACACATATGAGACCAATATTATCTTATTCATGCATTTACCAATATTCACATGTTCCATAAAGTATAAAGAGGTAGTAAAGTATTACCTCGATTTCTATGTCATACTGATCGACCATTTAAATTCCATTCGAACGCCCTCAATCTTTAATTCAACTACCAATAATTCCTCAAATACATAACAACATAAATTTCATCAAAAACAGAGCTTAATTGCGAAAAATGAATCGAATCGGGTGTTAAATCAGTAAAAACAGCTTACAGAGTTCAAATTTGGCGAAATGGACTTCGGAATCGGACTCAGGACATCAACAAAACCCAAAATATTACTCTTGAATTCCAGCTTACCAACTTGATTTCTAGCTTCCAATCTTTTTCTAACGAACACGGATAATCTATCGTACAAATACGACTTCAAATAATTTTCCTCGCCATCAACATAACTTATTAAAATCTAATGAATAATTTGGGGACCCAATTGTTAAAACTAAAAACTTTAGGAGCCAATATAATTTTTATTTACTAAAATTAGGGACTAAATCGATCTTAATAAAACCATTATGCCATAATCATAACAATATAAAAGCTAAGAGACAAGGTTGAGCTTTTAACTACTTGGATGACTTACCTTGTAGTTACCCCTTTTTGCATGTTATCTACAATTCCCCAACAACCCACGTGATAATGTTCATGTCTTATTAAACTAAAGAAAGCAAATTGCAGATGCCCATACTCACCTTGAAAGATTGGAATCACATGGTCACCTTTTGTTATTTCTTTTAAATTCTCCCCAACCGAAAGCTTTGTAGGAAGACAACGAAGCTTCATCGGCCATTACCCAAACACCGTTCAATGAATCTGTCCTCTGTTCGTCGAGAAACTCCATAGATGATCGTGGATCTACCGAAAAATGTTTAGCTTTCTGGAAATAAAAGGCTTTCGCTCATCGTCGACAACCGTTCAATGAAGCCATATTTACAATATGTTGATCCTCGCTACCATACTACTCTTCCCACCACACATATCTTCAACCAACATCGGAATCATCCGGAATCAAAAGACATACCCCATGAACTTTTGTATTTAATTTCTTGTTGATTCTTACTGTCTGGATGTTATTCTTTGATCGTTTGGTTATAGGTTGAGCAAAAGATGAGTCTACTCACTGCCAAGAAAATGAAGGAAGCTGCAGAAAATGTGGCTTTTTGCAGAGACCAAAAACTCTTTTGTACGAGGAGAGTTCAACGACATTCATGTGCAAAAAGGCTTCAAAGAGTAGAATTCTTGCTAGTCTCACAAAGATTCTCGTTTATGTAAATGAATTGAATATGGTTTTGAAGCCAACCTTATCCAAAAACTTAGCCTTAAGAATTGGAAAATTTTGAAGATAATTGATTGTGAATTGCAGGCCAAGCAACGATGGAAATAAAATTCACAATGACAAATAATAATTGAATACAATAATAGAGTTCACATAAGACAAAAGATAGAGAATTTACGTGAATTCTATAATCCCATAGTCAACTAAAAAACTAATCCCACCATTTGGGGTGTGACACAAAGGATCTAACAAAAGGTTTAATCAGTGACTAAAATAAAGAACTCTAAAGTTAGCAATCATATCTAATAATTAAACACATTTAATAAAAAAATGAATTCAATTCAGGACTAAATTGTTTTAATCGAAAATTCAAGGAAACCTTTAATGTACATGAAATGACCAAAACAGAAAGAAGAAAAGATGAGGGTCAAAAAATCAAACACGTTATTCTCCAACGATCCGTATAATAATTAGCTAAAAAATTATAGGAAAAACAAAAAACCTTAAGCCTAACACACTTGAAATCATTTTTGTGAAACATGTTTGCTTCCTGTACGCCGTGCTCTTTCATTCTCCGTTTCTTTTCCTTTTTTACAAAAACAAATTTACCTAGAATCAAAACCCCTTTTTCTTATATTGTCTTCTTTTATTCTTCCTAAAAAATCTTACTTTGATCCGAAAACAACACAAACATTCCGAAAAAAAGTTTTATGGATCAAACTCTATATTTTCATGAACTCAAATATGTTCATCCATTAAAACCTTTCCAAATCTGAAACTAATCTCCCATTTGAACCAAATGTAAAGAAAGAACATCATATTATAAAACGCTCACCTTCAAGATAAAATTTCAGCTAAATTCGAAAATTCCAGCGACTCACGAAGACGGCAGCGGTGGTTTTCACGGCAACGACAGCAACTCCTATGAAAGTTCGGTAAAACTATCTCACGCTCTCTTCGTTCTCCTCCTTCGATTATGCAAAATGGTACTTTCCTCTGATTTCCATATGATTCTTTGTTGTGTGTCCTCTGTGGGTAATGAATACCTTTTATAATAATCTGATATGCTTGTGATTTATAATATTCATCACTTCCCGCTCAAAACCATTGCAACTGATTTCTGCTATCAAAATGCTAGAATCTTCTTTCCATAACCGATTCTGTTTAAATAAAAATAACCCACTGATTTTTTTAGTGAAAAAAATGATGCACGGCGGAGAGAGAAAATGATGAACAGTGATCAGACGAGCAAAACGGTCGGTGCGTGAATTACACGCGCTGGTGGTGGAACTAACACGACGGCCACACACCTGCGAGACCTCCAACCACTCCGACAATGACATGGCATCTCATTAGCCTTTGGATCCGATCTTCATCAACGATTCTCATTAATTTGTGTTTCCTTCACTTGGATTGTCAAGTTGGCAAATTCTAGAAACTTGTAATGCCATAAACGCAAAGAACCCCACCATTTAATGCATTGTAATGAGCTAGGTGTTTTCAAATGTAATGTAATGGATATTAAAAATGGAATAATATTTATTTTTTGTATTGGGGCTTTTTTAAATGCACCATATATACATATAAATGAGCTTATTTATTTTTAATTGGGTTTATGCTAATATAAAATGGATCTCACTATTTATTAATGGAAACGCTACTATTTAATTTCATATGGTCAACCATGTAAAAGTAAAATCATCTAATATGAAAATCAAGCCCATACACTAATATAAACCATGTAATATGAAAATCAAAACCATACACTAGTTTTATTTATGAAAACTATACTATATTATTTACAAAAAAACTATATTTATACTAACGAAATTATACTAATACTATTTATAAAAACCACATAAGATAAAACTATATCATATACTATGTATACCAAAACATTATGTTAATATATTATACACTAAATATTTAATATGTATTATGCTAATGAAAAACTATGCTAATATACTAATATACCAACACATTAAAACTATACAAAACATATATTTATTTTTTATTATTTTTTAAAAGACACATTAAAACTATATACTTTATTTAAAAATAGCCCATTAATAATGTCACCAACCGGATATAATAGATGATGACACCTCTCATACTCCATTACAGTGCGATCCCCCTGAGTTAGATGCAGAAATGGCTCCCTCAGATCGTCGATGTGAGCCTCTCCTATGTATTTATTTCTAAACTCGGATATAAATTTCTCCCACGACGGTCTCTCTAGCTCCATATCCAACTCTATCATCTTCCACCAATCGATAGTGTTACCCTTGATGTAACACCCCAATTTAGGGGCTAAAATTAAGAAATTATAAAGTGGCGGATTTAATTGATATTTTGAAAGAAACATTGGGGATTAAATTGTAAAGTTTTAAAGTTGGCAGACCGTTTTATAAAGTGCAGGAAATTCAGTGGCTAAATCCATGATTTAACCATTTTTTATATATGATGAATTATAAGCTCCTCCCCGTGCGCAAGTTTCATATTTTCCAGATTTCCCTTCTCCAACAACCCAACTTCCAACTGTGATCTACTCGCTGTCCGACCTCCAAACGACGAGCCGAAACCACCATCATGTTCGTTGTCAATCGAGGAACAAAACCCCTCAAACCTTTCGTCGTGAATCATCGCCATTCGTCGTGAATTTCAGTCGGAGGTATCGTCGGTAATAACTCGGTTTTAGTAGGTTTTTCATCGATTCACGACGATCGGGTCATCTGTTTACGACACCTCCCGCACCATCGTGTTCGTTGCATTGTTCCGAGTTTTCCGGTGTCATCCTTGGTCTCTGTCGACGGCGGCGCGTGGGAGGTGAAGCGGTCAAAGTTTCCGATTTGTTGAAACCGAGCTCTCCGCCGTTCAAAATTGTGAACCGAGCTTTGTAAGTATCTCGAAATCGCTCAAAATAATTTTTAGAAATTTTTCCGGGATTTTAGCACTGTTCACGCGCCCCCACGCGCCGCCACTGCGCGTGGGGAAGAAAAAAATGACTGGTTTGACCGGTTTTGGTGCATAGTTGACCGGTTTGACCGGTCATAACCCGACCCGACCCGTTGACCCGACCCGACCCATTTACCCGACCCGTTGACCCGACCCGACCTGTTGACTCGACCCGTTGACCGTTGACCGTCGTTGACCACTGTTGACCAAAACTTTGACTGGCTTTGACCGGGCATTAAACGACCTTTGACTTCGACCGAGTATACCTATCCTGACATTTTTCAACGTTCCAAATCCGATTCCGCTGTCTGTTTTTCGAAATTCGAACCCGAAGGCCTCGAAATTGCCAGTCAAACCCGTTGACTTTGATTTTGACCAGAAATTCCAAATTTCTGAAAAGTCACATTTTATGCTTTCGACGTCCTGAATCCGAATCCGAAGTCCGTTTTACCAAATTCGAACCCGGTAAGCTGTCTTTCATTGATTTATCAACCGATTTGATCCGTTTATCGCAATTAAGCTCCGTTTCTGATATAATTTATGTTGATATGTATATGAGGAATTATTTGAAGTTGAATTGAAGATCAAAGGCATTCGAATGGAATTTTTATGGTCGATCGGTATTGCATGGAAATCGAGGTAATACTTTACTACCTCTTTATGCTTTATGAAACATGTTGATATTGGTAAATGCATGAATAAGATAATGTTGGTCACTTTTGTGGAGTTGAATAATTTATTCACTCGATATGAATGTGGTAGAAATTCTGTAACTGAATACGGATCGAATGACTAAGATAAGAGATTGATAATTGTTAGAATTACATTACAAGTTTGTGATAGGTGATAAAGAAATCAGCTCTGGATTTGTAACTTATATTTTATATCATCAAGGGTTAAATGTTAAAGATACTTGGATGAAAAATTATGAGAATACTCCGATATGGTAAAATTACAAAATTACCCTTATGTTGGAAAATGATAAGAATTGCTATGGAAGTTGGTTAATAACTCTGAAAAGACATATTGATCCGATATAACTACTGATGTGCATAAGAAATATTAGTTTTATTTGGAAATTATGGATAACCGGTTTTAATCCTATGAGAGTTTGTGAAGGAATCATTTCAAAATCAAAGAATGTTCGGGAAATCAATTGATCATAGGATCTCTAAATTATAATTATTTTCGTTAAGTGCTAATATTGAAATTATCTGGTTAAGAAATTACGAAAATGCCCTTGAGAGATAAAATAGTCTGAATTGACCCTGCATGAGAGAGTACTTTGAGGATTTGTACTTAATTCGATTAAGTACGAATTTAATTGTTAAGATCCTGTCTTTGTACAGAAAAATTTATAATATTCCGTTTGTAAAATCTGAGAAGACACTTGACCCGAAAATATTCGAATAAGGAGTAAATACTTGAAGAGTAATTTATCGAAGGTATTCTGCTGACAGAATTGTTCGAAAGGACTGAAGTAAATGATAAGATTGAATCAAATAATAAGACCAGATGGAAGGAAATGATTGAAATATTCTAGAATTATAAAATGACCAAATTACCCCTGGAATGGAAATGACTCAAGAATGTCACCAAGCTCAGGAATGAATGGATATACTCAAGCTTTGAAATGAATAGAAAAAATGTTAAGCACCAAAATGACCAAAATGCCCTTATGACCTAGAATAAGTAAATGTCTTGGATTAATTAAGAAATCCAAATAAACATGGATGTTGTGCAACCAGTAAAAGTTGTGGAACGCAACTTAAGTGATTAACCAACGTTAGTACTATATCATTACCTGAATGATATAAGTATCACTTGAATGTTTGTTCATCTTCTCAAATTTGGATCGATGATAATTCTGGAAGTACTTGGCGCAGCTCAACTCTAGAGCGCATACAGTACTAATAAGTGGGTAGTCGTTAGTCAAATCAACCACGAATACCAGAATGACTTTATTATATGAATAAATTGAAATGAAATGAAGTACAACGTGTATTTGAAATTCAGAAACGTCTGAATTATTCTGGAAAACTTTAAAGTAATCGGGATAGATTTGCTTACCAAACGAACTAAGTAACATCAATGACTAAGGATTAAATAGGTGATTTGATGAGTTTGGAAACACTGTTGAACTTACATGATGAATTGTCATTATGGGTTATGAGCCATGGATCAAGTACGTCAGTATTTCCTGATATTGTTGAAACGTGGAAATGAAATAAAGACCGTTGGAAGATTTATTCAGTGATGATTATGGGGATGATCTATGGATCTGTACTATGGTATTAAAGAGTGAATACACTGGAAGGATAATGAATTGACTTGTTGACATGCATCAGTTTGAGAGTTGTGTAACTCGAGTTGTTTGATAATATGTCAAATTGGGAGTGAAATTTATTGCAGATCCTGATCACAATAAACTACGAGGGTTCCCATTGGTATTTTTTGGTGTTGGATATGGTAGAACATGTTGCAACGGTATATGATAGTCTATTTTCATCTCCAGCGCCCAAATAAAGAGTGAAGGATGCTAAGAGATTGGTATGTATGAAAGGAAATTATGTAAATTATAATGCATACTTTGTTTGGATCATAACTTGATATTTTTAATGCATTTGACAATATTAGATAGATATAATAAGCAAAACATTTGGGTAGAAGCATGTGGCCGTATAAAGGTCCCATTGAAACAATTTAAATTTGTGGAGCATAAGATTAATGAGCAGTTGAATGGGTATGAGATGTTATCATAAATAGAAAGCGCAATTTATGGAGGTTTCATAATTGACATGTGTGGTATTCAAATTTTGTAACAGATATGATTGCGGCATATATGTGATTATGCGGATGGAATTGATCGGTTCTAGAGGGACAGCTGGTGATTTTGTAAGTGAAATGAAAAATTAGTTACAAAATTGTTAAAAGTCGTAGATTCAATGCTGTGGTTTACAATAGTTAACGTACTGAAAATTTGAATATAGGTTGTTGGAGAATGGGACCGTACGCGAATATTAAATGATCTCGTAAGCCACAATCAAAATAAAAAAGAGATGAGGTGCAAGAGCTTCCATCAGACACATGAATAACAAAAGGGCGCGATGATGTCAATGTAAGGGAAATTTTGTATTCGATTTATAATTTTGTATCTGAATGTAATTATGTATGAGATGAGAAAAGTTAGCACTAGGTTGTTGTACATGTTTCTTATACATAGTAGGAGTAATTATGTATGAGATGAGAAAAGTCAGCAATAGGTTGTTGTATATGAATGTAATTATGTATGAGATGATAAAAGTTAGATATAACTTGTTGTACATGTTGATACTTATGATATATGGAGATCGTTGTCTGCATTATTCCAAATGTCACTAACATAATTGTCATCATGTGCGGGACTGAATGGTTATTCCATTCCGTCTTCAAAAAAATCAGTTGATGTAGGATGTGTGCTTGTTTCCAAACTGAGCTTGACTTGAGGACATGTTAGTTTGTTATGTCCTTCACCGTTACAGAACCCACATCGCTTAATTTTCTTCTCGACCTTGTTCTTTGGTACTTCTTTTCCCTTGCGTTGTTTTCGTTGAG